CGCGACGTTTTTCCGTTATATAACCGATATTTGACAACATTGATCTTAATTTCATAAATATAATTTATGCTCCCATGAATTTCTTTATATATATATATATTGTCTTCTCCTTAAGTATATATTATATGCTCCCATATACAAAGAAGGCCATGATAGGCACTAGTTAAAAGAGTAGATTACAAGGTTCTTAGTCATGTGAAAAGGAAGAGAGGGAGACCAAGAAGGACTTCAGAGGAAGTTGTCAAAGGCTTTCTCATGGTAAATAATATTCCTAAAGTTTTGGTTTTTAATCGCTCTGAATGATATCATGCGCTCCATGTAGCTTACCTCATCTATTGGGATAATGCTTGTTGGTATCTTCTCTTTTTCTTTTTTCTTTTTTTAACTTCTTTGGTGTCTTCTTTTCTAACATAAATGGAGTAAAAACAATTCTTTTACCAGATATCAACGAATACCAAAGCAAAACCCACTAGAAGAAAGAAAGGGAAATAAAGAGTTTTCCTGTTCATAAGCTATCACTAATCACATTTCAAAATCATTGAAAAAATAAAACAGTTGTTTGAAATCATCAGGTAGCTATGTCTGACAATGGAACAGTAAACTAAAACATGGAAAATCACACTTACATGTGTATCTAAGAGATAAAAAGCTTTCTCCAACATGGTTCTTCTCATACGATCCATCTCAAAAACTTGTTTTACAAGCTACAGCAAGAAATATTTGAGCATTGTTATCATCTGTTTGAATATTCATCCTAGAGTAGATATACATCAATTCTCCTAATATATTCTAGGTTGGGTAGCTAAATAGGAAAAAGATCAACACTGATCCAGTGCTTCGAAGTTTCAACTTTAACATCAGATATATATAAAGAGAAGTAATTGTATGAAAAGATTTACCTCATTCTTGAAACTGTCATAAACAACAGCAAGGATCAAGTTTGTAACAAAGTACACCCCCACTAGCACAAAGAGTACGAAAAACAGGCAATACCATCGGGAAGACCTTAAAAGCCAAAATAAAGTCATGGGCATTGATGGTTGATTATATCTCAAATTGAAAGGACAAAAGTCATTTAGCCAGGCAGATTCAAACTCTTACTTGTATGCAGGAACCCAAACATCTGGATTATTGGATGTGGTAAATAAAAGAAACAGCTGATAAAATGTAGTACCATAGGAAGTGAATACTGTTTTCCCCTGTATTGTATCCTCAAAAAACACATACGCCACCCAACTAGAAAAAAGAAGAAATAGAAGCCACAAAGCCTGCAGTGCATAAGAATTGGACGGCACACTGTCCAGTAAGAGTGTTGATTATAACAAATTAAAATAATCAAATGTAGCATTCAACTGAAACTAAATAGATTTTGAATGTAAAATGACATACACGTTGTTTTAAGAGTTACAAACAGAAACAGCAAAGAGTAAGGCCAAGGAGAAATAACATAAAGTAAACTAACCAAGATATTTAAGTATGTATCAAGCATCCCGGCCAAGATAACGATAGTTTCTCGTAGCTCCCTGACATCAAATTCAAATGCAGAATTTAACAATAAAAAATGTTATACTGCATTTGCCTTTGGCTGAATAATGAACATACAAGAATTTCACATTGCAAGACATGTTAACCATGGCAAGTAACTCATGAAGCCATAAATTATTAAACATTAGTGTTGAGAAGAGAACCAAATTAACCTAAAGCTTAACCTACCACCTCACATGAGATGATGAAAGCCCTAAAGGACTGGAGCATGTACAAAGCACAAGACAAACACAATTTGTCCTAAAATTATAGTTTAAATAATAAAAGAGACAAGGATCAAACTCTTGACCACTTGGTCTCTACAAAACAGCTTAGTTTTGGAGTTGTTCATGTAAAAAATGTCCCTCCATTTTAGAAAATAAATTAAGTAACAAAAATCATTTAAACTTTGATATCAGAAAAAATTTGAATTTCTTAGAAGTTTCGTTTTCATATCATTTCATACAATAAGTCTTTATCTCCAGTGTTGATAAAAACACTGAACTGACTCACCCACATGAAAAAATTATAAAATTTGTTCAATTCCATAACAGATAGAGTACATAAACAACAGTTTTATATGTTTGATAAGCCAAAAGGATGTTCAATTCCATAAACAACAGTACATTGTTTCCGGTCAACACCCACGAGGTGGAAGTGCACATTTAATTATTAACATAACAGATAGAGTACATGAAAGATATAATGTATAGCACTCAATGCTATCTCTATCCCTTTCAATTATCTTCCAGTCCTGTTCTATACAAATAATAATAACTAGGATTTGTAAATTTGAAGCAGTACAGCAACAATTATTAAAATTTTCAAGCACAGGTCCAAAAGATATAATATGCAACAGAATATTCATTCCAAAGGAATACAAAAAGTTGAGAGAGGCCAGACAATACCTAATATTCATAATGAAAAGAACAACCCTGATATAAGGTGCAATTCTGAAAGGTAGAAAATCAAAAGCCAGTGGAGACAAATAAAGGGCATAGACCAGCATATCAGCGACAAGAACTAGTAGAAAGAAAACCTGGAAGTACCAAAAGGTTAATTTTTAGTAATAGTATATATGTAAAAATGGATTTCAAATTCAGGATATATGAAAATGATGTGGTTTTTCCCTTCATAGTGCAAGATAGCACCCATTTACTCCAGCTTAATTATATGATGAATGCTCACATATAAAATCAAGATTCAATGGGGAAAAAAAAAAGTGTATCATAACACAAACAGAGGAATGAAGCATGCATTTCAGCATATCAGTCGCTTCTGTTAGCTTTTGATTGGAACAGGTTAGGTGTTGAGCAACCCTACCTTCCAAAGGTCAAGTCCATTATTCACAAGTTGGCCCTCAAAAGTAACATTATTGACATTTAGAGCTGATATAGCTTTGTTGTCTCGTACCAAATTTTATTCTTTAGTAGGATCTTAAAGCAACATACCTTCAATTGATTAATGATATTTTTCCAATATATACGGGATCCTTCATATGCCAATGGGAAGAACGTATGTGCGATTAGCAAAACAACAGTTATTCCCTGTATTACACAGAAAAAGCTCACGTAAGACAAAATACTGTGCACATAGTTGAAAAAGAAATTAATACAAGGATACTTTAACAACCCCACAGATCAACTGGTATCCCCATGCCATTCCATAGGGTATAAGACTCGCATTTTTTAATAAACGATGAAAAACCTATTAGAAAGGAAAGATAAAAAGAAGAAAAACCCTCAGAAGGGAAAAAATGACACCTCGAGCCAAATTGGCTAAAAATGTGAAAAGGTTTTTGCAAGTCACTAACAAATCCCATTGAAATAACTACTACCAAAGCACTAAGGAAAAAAGAAACTCCTAGCAGATATTCATAAATAACGAAAGAAAAACATCAAAGCAACAAAGTGGAAGGATGATTTCAAGCCTACACTTGCTTTATCTCTCTAAAATGCTTGCTTAACAATTACAGATACCGGAATATCTTAAATGAGACATTCATTAAATAAGTTAATGACATACATAGGTAGTATTGGCTGTTTCATTTCATTTACAAAATGGAGCCAAATAAATAACTTAATTTCAACATGAGAATGACAAATATCACCAAAGGTAATCACCATTTTCAAAGATAAATAACTAATAATTTACCCAATAAAAAAATAATAGCCTCTGAACTACTGAACTCTTACCTCATAAATAAGACATTCTGCATCAGTCAGATACGGCAATTGTCCCAAAAAGAAATACTCTCTATCATTGCAAGAATTTGTGGTAAGCTTTTTACACCATACAGGTTTCTGTACCAAGTAAAGTACATTATAAAATATCATCTTTCTATTTTATTTTTCATTTTCTTTAGCCTGAAACTCAATTAACAGGAACTAAAGGAGCTTGCCACTACTAACCTCCAGGAAATTCAGGACTATCAAAGCAAAATAACTGAGAGACCAGATGAGATTGCATTTGGTGAATATAAAATAAAATCTTGCATAACTTTGGAAGTTTGATGAATCAAGAATTTGCTCAGGGATACCAACACCGTCTTCAGCCTGCATAAAGCATTTCCAAACAGTATAACAAGTAGTTAACGGAACCGAAAAAAGTACATAAATAAATAAATATTAAATATATATATATATATATTAAATATTTAAAATATATATAAATTAAATATTAATATTAAATAATTATATTAATTTAAAATATTATATATTAAATATTAATATTTTATATATATATATATATATACGATTATGTTATATGTGTCGATTATGTTATATGTTATACATATAACATAATCGATTATGTTATATGTATAACATATAGCATAATCGATTATGATTTGCTGTGTATATATATACAACATAATCGATTATGCTGTGTATATATACAAAGCATAATCGATTATGCTCTGTATATATATACAACATAATCGATTATGCTGTATATATATACACAGTATAATCGCTTATGTTGTGTATATATATACAGTATAATTGATTATGCTTCGTTCTTCTGCTGCATGGCACATGCATGAGAGGGGTATTTTTAGATTTTCACAAATCCTACGTGTCTTTCACCTCCTTTCTTCCCTTTTGTGCGAGGAGAGCAACAGTACTTTCCTTCTCCTTTCTTCGTCTTTCTTTCGTTCCAAATCAGGAAAAACAAACGGATACTAACCCCTTGGTGGAAGGAGTCCATCACAAAAATTAGTGGATTCAATGATGAAGGGGGTCTTGTTTTTGTTTGGGGGATACATAGGAATTTGGTTGTATCCGAAATAAGCATCAAGAAAGCTAAGTATGTGGTGTCCTGCTGCTCTTTCTACCAATGTATCAATATGTGGTAGTGGGTAGGCATCCTTTGGACAGGCTTGGTTTAGGTCTGTATAGTCAGTGTAAATTCGCCATTTTCCATTTGCTTTTTTAACCATAACAACATTGGCTAACTAGGTGATATACCGTACTTCCGTAATGAATCCTGCTTCAAGTAGTTTAATTGTTTCATCTTTCATTGCTTGAGCTCGTTCTCCTTTGATTTTTCTCTTCTTCTGGGCGATGGGTTTGGCATCCTAGCATATGGAAAGTTAGTGGCAGTGGAAGTGTGGATCAATGACGAGCATGTCAGCAACAGTCCAAGCAAAAAGGTTGACATTCTGGGTCAAAATTTCTTCAATGGTCTTGCGTTCGTTCATTGATAATTGGGAGCCTAAATAGATAACTTGTTCTATACTTTTGCCTAGAGGAAAAAGGATGGTTGTTTCAATTGATTCGACTATTTGATCGTCGTCCAACCGAGGATCAAAGTATAAGTCCTTGACTTTTTTCGCTTGAGAAGGAAGATCGATGACATTGACATTGCTCGGCGCACGGGGTAGTAGTTCCAACCTTAAGCTCGTATAATAACATTCATGGGTCGTCTTCTAATCTGCATGCAATGTGATCATATCTCTTAATTCAAATGGAAATTTCATAGCTAAATGCGGGGTTGACACAATCGCGTGCAGTTTGTTCAGAGAGGGTCGTTCGAGTAGGATATTATATGAGGTACTAGCATGTACCACTACGTATCGCACCTTGGATGTGCTGGCCTTCTCTCCTTGACCTGAAGTAAGTGTATAAATCGATGGTCCCCCTAGTGTCTACCCTTTCTCCTGAGAATCCAACAAGGGGTCCATGGTACGAGCTCAACTCTTATTTTGGAATTCCGGGTTGCTCAAAGTCTTCCAGTATAAGATGTTTGTTGAGCTTCCTTAATCTACCAGTGACTTTCTCACAAGACAATTGTTGATCACGACACTAATTACCATTGGATCATTTTGCACTGGATCGATTCCCTAAAAGTCCTTATTCGTGAAAGTGATAGGTGGGGTGGGGACGAGGTCGGTCTGGGCCACCAAGTTGATTGATCTAACAGCTCGTAGATGTCTCTTTTGGGCTGAAGAGGTTCCTCCCCCTTGCGAATCCTGCCGCAATGGTGTTGATTACTCTTCATGATAAATCATTACCATGATGGTTGCCTTGTCGATCACGAGATCTGCTACATTCTCTCTATTTGTATGTCTTAGGTCCCCTATCCTATCTTTCTTGAGGTTGGACTTTTTGATCGGTCGACTGTCTTGGTTGCCCCGGTGAGGAATTTGGATGGAGTCCTGGAGGTGCCCCAATTTTACCAAGTCTTCGATACGATCCCGGAGGGCTGTACATTCTTCGATAGTATGTCCTCTATTCATGTGGAAGCGACAAGTCTTCGTTTTGTCTGCCCATGGTGAGGTTATTGCTCGCTGCGGCCTTATTAGGATTTCTATGGCAAGAGCCTGTTCTAGCACCCTAGTCTAACTTGTGTTTAGCGAGGTGTAGTGTATATGTTTCGGTCCTCGGGCCGATTTTTCACAATTCGAAGTATCGTGGCCGCGCAGTCTTCCAAAATTTTCCTTTTATGTTTCTTTCTTTCCATAGTTTTGATTAGGTCTCATCTGGTTCTGAAACTCTACTAATTCCTCCATTTGCATGTACTTGGTGGCTCTCTATCGTAAGTCATCCAAATCGAGGGATGGATTTTTACATATGTTGTTCACAAAAGGCTTGGGTCATAGTACCGTGGTAAAATGATGCATGGCTACTATGGGATCTAGGTACCTATTTGGGTTGTGTCTCGGCCGAGGGGGTTGAAATGAAACTAGAAGGATCGATTTGTTTTATAGATCTATCTAGGCTGGAATGCTCATAATTAAGAAATTAAAAGAAAAAAATATAGATTAAGGTAAGAAATGGGAGAACAACGCCACAATCCCTAAAGATTGATAAGTTGAGGAAGATTCGCCACATTGAATTAGAAAATTCAAGGATAAGAATCAAAAGTAGATTCTATGAACCTAGAGAGAGAAAATTCTCTCAATTGTAAAATTATTCAAATTCTGAATAATTCATTCTTTGTCCAAATTTTTTACAAAAGGTTCCTATTTATAAGCTTAGATGGGAAAGATGACATAAATTCCCACTAATTTCCCACTAACACTTAATATCCACTAGAATTGACTCCTCATTAGCCCACTAACTAATTAAATTCCACTAAGAAGCCTAAAACACTAAATGCTGGCCTAGGTAATATGGAAAGCCATCTGACTTATTTAGTAAAATTCATAAAATGAAGATTATATTAAAAAAATAAGATAATGGACTTATTTAATTATTCAGCCCCAAACTATTTAAATTCCAGCCCACTAATCCATTTTTTTATTATATAACTTTGGGTTTGTCAATCTTCAATTTTTACCCAATTGGATTCACATCATTCCCTCATTCTTTGAGAAGATTTGTCCCGAATCTTAAGGCTTTATTTATTTCCTAATTTATTTAATTCACTAACTACTGAGAAACGCAAATGCTTCCTCCTAGGTCGAAGACATCTCGCTTGTATCCATCTCTAGCTTCATGTTGGTAAGATATTAATCATCAACGAAACAATTAAAACCTCTTCAAACTCATAACCAAGAACATACTCAATGAATAGGAATTGAATCCCATTCAAGTTGTAATTTTGGAAAATAGTAACTTTAAACAACAAATCATCTCCAATTTCTAGGTGCAGGGTCTCTTGAATTTTATTCTAAAAGGTGGGCTGAATGTATAAAGGTGCATTAGGAATGGTGTTGACATGGTTCTTCAAACAAGAAAACTTGTCCTCCTTTTCCTATAAATTTGACACATCAAAAGAAGAAAATGTAACATTAGAGTTGTCATCTTCCTCTTTATGTTTCTCACCTTCTGCTCTTATCTTCTCTTCTTTTTCTTTTTTTATCTTTATTTTCAATTTTAGTTGATCCTCACGTACAGCATCGAATGGTAGACATATCAACTTAATCCTTCGTCCACCATGAACAAAAGAAATAGAAGGTCATTCAGGATTTTTAATGTTATTATGCAACCATGGTCTCCCTAATAGCATATGGCATGTCTCCATGGGGGCAATATCACAAAGAACTTCATCTTCACATTTCCCAATAGAGAATTTAATCTTTGTTTGTCCATTTGCAATGGGTAGACGTAATTTCTCAACCACCCTGCAACTCACGACATTTTTGAAATTGAATTCATCTATTGCAACTAAGAGTAGATGGTCATCCACCAAACATCTTGTATAATAAATTTCCATCGCCATTCCAAACCTAGAGACGAAGCTTTGATACCAAATGAAATGAACCTAGAGGGATAGGTTCGTTTTATGGATCTATCTAGGCTGGAATGCTCATAATTAAGAAATTAAAAGAAAAAATATGGATTGAGGTAAGAAATGGAAGAACAACGCCACAATCCCTAAAGATTGATAAGTTGAGGAAGATTCACTACTTTGAATTAGGAAATTCAAGGATAAGAATCAAAAGTAGATCCTAAGAACCTAGAGAGAGAAAATCCTCTCAAATGGAAAAATATCCAAATTCTGAATAATTCATTCTTTGTCCAAAATTTTTATAAAAGGTTCCTATTTATAAGCTTAGATGGCCAAGATGACATAAATCCCCACTAACACTTAATATCCACTAGAATTGACTTCTCACTAGCTCACTAACTAATTAAATTCCACAAAGAAGCCTAAAACACTGAATGTTGGCCTAGGTAACATGGAAAGCCATCTAACTTATTTAATAAAATGAAAATTACATTAAAAAAAATAAGGTAATGGACTTATTTAATTATTTAGCCCCAAACTACTTAAATTTCAGTCCACTAATCCTTTTTTTTATTATACGTCTTTGGGCTTATCAGTCTTCAATTTTTACCCAATTAGATTCACATCAGGGGTGCTCGGTTTGAGTGTGGGTGTCCTGCTCGTGAATTTGGTGAAAAGTGATAGGCGTTTCACTTACACTACATTAACCAAAGGAGAAGGATACAGTATATATATACCAAAAGAAGTAACACAACCGAAAATACCACTATCTTTTTAAAGCAAACAAACAGTTATTTTTACATGAGTAAGAAGAATGTTGCTTGCATCGAGTATAAAGGTGGCAATTGCTTAAAATCATAAGTGCACATTCATTTTCTGAAGGCTTATTGGTTCCTTGGCATGATGCCTTAGTTGTCAAA